TAACAGAATTTAATATTATACTTGAAAGTCTTTCATCATTATATTTGATAAGTTGCATTTTACTACAAGAAAAAATGTACATAAATTGAAATTGAAAGTTTAAAATTTTTTTTTCTGTGCCTTAAAATGTTTATACTTTCAAAAAATTTCTAGATTAAGTTATAATTTCAGTTGATCAAAACTGCAAACGAACCGTGATAGCTAGGTTGGTTATAGCATCATCCTGATATGCCAGGGTTGTGGGTTTGAGCCCTGGTCAGGGCACATATAAGAATCAACCAAGTAATGCATAAATAGGTGGAACAACAAATTGATGTTTTCCTTTCTCTCTGTCTTCCACCCTCTCTCTCTAAAATCAATAAATAAAATTTAAAAATTAAAAAAACCAATGTAAACATGGCAAATTTTGGTAAATAATTATTAATTGTAAAGAAGTAAAATGTACGTTTCATTTAATCTCCTTTTTTAGTATATTTTATTGATTATGTTATTACAGTTGTCCCATTTCTTTCTCCTCTTTGTTCTCTTTCATCTTGCACCCCGCCCAACGGCAACCCCCCACGGGTCATACATATACTTTCGTTGTCTTCTCCATATCCCATACTATTCTTAACCTGCCCCTGTCTATTCTGTACCTACCATTTATGCTTCTTATTCCCTGTACTTTTGCCTCATTGTCCTCTCTTGCCCTCCGCACTGATAACCTTCCATGTGATCTCTATTTCTGTGATTCTGTTCCTGTTCTAGCTGTTTGCTTAGTTTGTTTTTATTTTTGGTTCTTTTAGGTTTAGTTGTTGATACTGTGAGTTTGTTATCATTTTACTCTTCATCGTTTTGATCTTCTTCTTTTTCTTACATAAGTCCCTTTACCATTTCATATAATAAGAGCTTTGTGATGTTGAACTCCTTGAACTTGACCTTATCTGGCAAGGACTTTCTCTGCCCTTCCATTCTAAATGATAGCTTTGCTAGATAAATAATTGTGGATGTAGGTCGTTGGATTTCATGACTTGGAATACTTCTTTCCAGCCCCTTGTTGCCTATACAGTTTCTTTTGAGAAATCAGCTGATGGTTTTATGGACACTCCTTTGTGGTAACTGTCTCCCTTTCTTCTTGCTGCTTTTAAGATTCTCTCCTTATGTTGAATCATGGGAATGTGATTATGAAGTGCTTAGTGTATACTTCCTTGAGTCCAAATTCTTTGGGACTCTCTGGGCTTCCTGGACTTCCTGAAAGTGTATTCCTTTGCCACATTGGGGAATTTCTCTTTCACTGTTTTTTTTCAATTAAGTTTTCAGTTTCTTGCTCTTCCTCTTCTCCTTCTGGCACCCCTATGATTCTGATGTTGGAACTTTTAAAGATGTCCTGGAGGTTCCTAAGCTTCTCCTCATTTTTTTGAATTCTTGTTTCTTCACTTTGTTCTGGTTAAATGTTTGTTTCTTCCTTCTGCTCCAAATCATTGATTTGAGTCCCAGTTTCCTTCCCTTCCCTTCCCATGTACCAATTCTTTGTATATTTGTTTCCCTGTATATTATTCTTTATTTCACTTTGCATAGTCTTCATTTTTTTCTCTATTTTGCAGCCATACTCAACTATTTCTGTGAGCATTCTGGTTACCAGTGTTTTCAACTCTGCATCTCATAGTTTGGCTATCTCTCCATCACTTAGTTCTATTTTTGGAGTTTTCATCTGTTCTTTCATTTGGGCCATATTTCTTTGTATCAGTGTATCTGATACATGGTAAGAGATGGAGCCTTGGGTATTCACCTAGGTGGGACAACCCACTTTGCTGGGTTGTGGTACCATTTGTAGGAGGAGTTCAGAGAGGGAACAATGCCACTTGCTTGTCTCTTGGCTGGCTTTCAGTCACTTCCTCCACTACCCACAAGCAAATTGGTGCTGATTTCAGGTAGATGGTTTTGTGTCTGTTCTAGGACCCTGTGGGTCTCTCCAATGAACTCTCCTGTGAGACTGGGAGTTTCTCCTGCTGCCTCAACCCCACAGGTTTTTTTCAGTCAGAGGTTTTCATGCTTTATTTCTCCCACACAGGAACCCTGGATTGCATGGTCTGTCTCGCTCCCCAGTTGTTCCTCCCAGTTTATCCGCACACAAGTGTGGTACCTCCAGCCGCTGTCTTGCCCTCCTGGTCCTCTAGCCACAGGCTTGCTGTGTGTCCTCTCTGCCCCAACTGCCCGTCTCCACTGTTCCTACCAGTCAGAATGAATGTTCTTTACCTCCTTGGTTGTTTGTTTTTAAATTTTTTGTTGTCTTTCTTTTGATTGTGCAAGGAGACAAAGTTTATCTACCTATGCCTCCATCTTGGTAGAAGTCCTCATTTAATCTCTTAATGAAAGACTTTTTTTCTAGTTAGTTTCTGATCTTTGGATGAATGTTATTTAATGCTGGAATAAGACAGGTTTCAGTATCAAATGTGTTCTATTGTTTGTTTTTTGTGAGTAAGTGAGTTTTATACGTAAGAGCTAAGATACAATTTTTACATGAAGATGTAGGGCACCCTGGCTGGTGTGTTTGTGGATTGAGCACTGGCCTGTGAACTAAAAAGTCACAGGTTCAATTCCTGGTCAGGGCATATGCCTGGGTTGCCGGCGTGCAAGAGGTGACTAATCAGTGTTTCTCTTGCGTATTGAAATTTCTGTCCCCTCCCTTTCTCTCTGTTTTCCCCCTCTCTGAAAATAAATACATAAATAAAATCCTTGTAGAAATGAAGTGGATGAGATGGAAAACAGTTAACTACAACATCATTCTAACAATTTCTGATTTATTTACTTAAACCTCACAGCAACTTGTTAAACATTAATGATCTCTCTCTTGATTGTCAGCTATCCACTTCAGTCTTTTTCAGTTTGATCCCATTGGTTTATTTTCTCTTTCTGTCTTTCCAAATCTGGGTAATGGGAATAATAGCACTTAATTTACAGAGATATGGTGCAGATTCTACGTGAATCTTGCTAACATTTATTAGGAGATTCTTATGTGCCCAACACTATTAAATCCTTTGTATTCATTAAATCATTTAGCTCCTCCCTCACTCAGATATTTAAAAATTATTATTATCATTTTATATGTGAGAAATTGAGGGCTTAAATTACTTGTCTAAGTCACCAGAGTTGAAAGCAGCAGGACCATCATTGCAACCCCAATTTTCCTGACTTTAGAACTTAAGTTATTAGCTACTTCTCCATGTTATACATATTGATAACCTATTTTTTCTTAGCATGATTTGAATTTTTACCTAGTATTGTATTAAAAATAACTAGAAAATACATGAGTTGCAAATCAGTTTTTTTTTCTAAAAACTTTACCAGGATTTACTTATGAAATGACTTATGGAGGATTGGAAAAATGGAAACAATGCTAACTTAAATATTTACTTTTACAACATCATTTGTACTTTCTACTAAAACCTTATAGCTCCAGATTGTGCTCATTCATTTATAGGGAATGACTACCACATAACCTGACAAAAGTCGTTTCTGGTTGTCAAATCAGCCGAGGCAGATTTAACTTTCTGTCAGAAAACCTGACTCCATTTTCCATTCAAATAGATGTGTTAATCATTGTTCCTGTAACCATTCTGAATTCTAAAGTAGGTAAACCATGAATTTATTTGTCTTCTACATGAAATAGGGTGCTGCCACCTTCAACATTTCTTACAAATGCCTTGTTACTTTGCTTTTACTGGGCTGTCTTCACATGAATCTTTGCTGTCAAATATATTCTTTAACAGGGCAGAGCCTGGAAGAGAGGTTATATTAAGCAAAAATCACCCTTTCTTCCATTGCCCCATGTTTCAGTATACCTGAACTCAGAACATTCCAACAACAGCCAAAAACACCCATTTCAAAAATACATTATTACACTTTTAAGAGAAATATGTTTTAAACGGAAAGGACACTAAGCCCTTCCTTGATGAGAGGATGTTTCACTTACACTAGTATTTCAGGGTTTTTTGTCTGATGCCCTGGAGACTTGGTCTCCCAGGTGGTGTTCTGTAAGAAGACACTGAAAGACCTCACCTTTGTTAAATGGGAAGAGGCTGTAACAAAACAGGAATCATTCTCATAAGATGTATTATTGGCAAGTCTATTTTAAGTAAGACTACCTGAAGAAGTTGAGAATCAAGGGTGGATAACCTTAAAATTATCCATGCTTTCATACCCTATGGAATCCAGTCTGTGTAACCCAAGGATACACATACCCCAGCTTGAAGGCTGCTATTCAGTACCACCTATATCTTGTCCTGCATCCCACTCCCTGCTGCTTTCATCCAGGGACATTCTGTCTTTTACTGCAATACTCAAAGGTTCATAGTGAATCTCTCAATTTATGAAACCAATTGCCTTTGCTCAGACCTATCTCACTATATAGATGTTAAAAGGTAAACACTTGCTCCAACTAAAAAAGGAAGAAAATGAGGGAGGTAAGAAAAAGAACACAAAACTGAACAGAACAAAAGTTCTCTTGTGTAGGGAACATGCCAGCATGTCCTGCAGAGGCCTTGAACTGTAACACCTCAATGCTGTTATTTTTCTGGTTTCCCCTTGTTTTTACTTCAGCCTGGCAGTGCCTTTCCCTTCCTGGTCACTTGTGTAAGCTTCACAGACCGCAGCGTCCATAAAGCTTTAACCAGGCTGCCAAGTGAAAATGTTCTTTCTCTCTCCCTCAGGTTCTTGGTTTGGACTCTAATTTTGATACATCATACAGTGCTTTTCATTATGATTATTTAAACATTTGTCTCCTCTCTGTCTTGCTTTTTTTCTGTGTGTGGCATGCAATTACTTGATGCCTTATTTAAACTGAATTAGCCTCTGTTACGTATTTTCTTCATAGGTGCTGTCTTGGAATTTGAAAAACCTATTGGAGTTTATAAATAGCCTTCCTTAATGTTCACCATTACTACTTAACTGTTTAATTTCACTATTCTATTCTGTGAATAATCCACACAAACTAAGATTTTTTTTTCTCTTGCTTTCCCCAGGAATCAAAAAGATCAGAATCTCTTATGGACATTCATCAAAAAAAAATAAAGAATAAATATGCTGAAGATAAAACTAAGCCCCAAGAAAGAATACCATTTGACCGTGACAAAGATCTTAAGGTTAATCGGTTTGATGAAGCTCAGAAAAAAGCCCTAATTAAAAAATCCAGAGAACTGAATACCAAATTTTCACATGGCAAAGGCAGCATGTTTTTATAAGTAAGTATATTTCACTGAGGTATATTTTTATACTAATAAATTTGAGCTTCTCTAAAAATAAATTTTGTCTATAAATAGTTAAGTGCAAAACATATTTCTTTTCTAATAAAGTAGATTATAAACCTATAAATCTTTTTTATAAGAAAACTGATTTTTGAAAACTCAGCTTTCATGAACTTGAAAATATGGTATATAGAAAAGTAGTCTTGTTCTAATAATAACCTAATAGAACATTGCTATTAAAAATGCTAAAATAAAAGTTTAGTTTATGAGAAATGGAAAGTGTAGTTTAAAGATTGGGTAAATATGCATGGTTTATTAAAGGATGAAGAAAGATTTGCTAGGAGTCTTTTTATGTTGAATAGGATCACAATTAGAAAATGTTCATTGCTTTAAAGGTTCTCAATAAGGTATGGTTGAAAACCATTACATCATTCATTTATAGCCAGAACTGACAAGGGTTCATAATAGTGATGAAGGAATTACATAAAAAGTAATGCTCCTTCTTAAGATTTTTTTCAATTGTATGAAACCTGTATCAATATTAAAACATGGCTTTAAGGGAAAACACAGTTAAAATTAGAAATATTTTCCAACTTACTAAATTTTCTTATTCTTCAGGGGGATTTCCTTGTGCAATGAAGAAAAGTTGAACACTCTTTTACCTGTTGGTCCACAGTTATTACTTTGTTTTGAGTTCTTACTATTAGAGATTACTTTCAGCATAAAAACCATACAAACTCATCTTGTTCTCTGCATCCTTACAATCATGTGGAAGCATAACAAAATATCAGTGTTTCTTATGTAGAACAGAATTTTATATGTTTGGCTTCTGAGAAAGTATGGGCTTTTTTTCAAATAATTATTCTGAGGATTTCCCCCACCATGCCCTAATTTCTGTGCTGTGTCCCAAGCATCCTCTCAGATCTGGTCAGGACTATCTGAAACCTGGACCTCCTCATTGGATATTATTAACCTACCCTAGAGCAGGTGTGTCCGGGTACTTAGAGTAAATCCAAGAATTTGACATTGTTTGGATATTCCCTTTCAACTGCAAGGAGTGAATACATATTTACATGAAAAAAGTATATATGGAGGTTTTGACTGTTTCATCAACAGTTTGCTTATTTGGGCACTCGGTTTTTTATTTGTGGTTTGTGTTTTCTGGTGTGTTTAAGTCAGAAAGGAATCTCCATTATCTCATGTTCTAAGGAAAAAGTATTTGTTTTTTTCAACTTTAATAAGTGTTTAGAGGGGAGGCAATCTGAGGAACTAGATACACCAGTGCCCACGAGCAGTGTGGAGTCTAAGACACAGCCCTGTGACCTCAGCCAAAGCTTTCTAAGTCTTTAAACTCTGCTTTGAGATGATCTTACTTTACCCATATATATTTAACAGATTTTTAGCTAATTTATTGGGGACAAACTTTTATGTCAGTTATGAGTAACCTTTTTTGAAAAAAATGAAACTCTGTAATCATAACCACTCTAATGGAGCATTATAAGTTTGTAATGCTATAAGTACTGCTTCTTTAGATGTTAAATAGAAAATTCTAAATGGTTAAAGCCTAAATTCAAATTCTGTAAAGTTATATTTTCTTACATACAGATTAATCTTAGCTCTTCTGCTAGTTCTGTGTTCTAGTTTTGATAAAGCACAAGGTTTTAATGGGAAAAGATTCTGATTCCCAGTTCATTAGGCTTTATGAAAAATTGAGTAAACTGTTCAGAGAACAGTAAAAATTATTCTTCTTATAATCATAGCAGTATAGTGATATTTTCCATAACATCTGTGTAAACGGTAGCCTATTCAAGGAGTGTTGTTATTAAAGAGATGAATTATTCTCCTAAGCAAATTCATGTAAAGACTTCTTATTAGAGTTGAACAGAGCTAACTTTTGACTAAAGGTGTCATTTTTAATGGGTGGTATTGTATAAACACAAAACTTTGTTGCAAAAGCATCCGTTGCTTTCATTTAATTTTGTTATAATTTTTTCCTCAATAAAAAGAAATGTTTTCTATTTTCCTCATCCCTCTATAGATTCCTAACATATTTTTGGGAAGTTTGGTATTTTTAAAGTAAAAATATCATCTTTGGCCTGGCTGGTGTAGCTCAGTGGATTGAGCGCGGGCCTGGGAACCAAGCAACCACGGTTCGATTCCCAGTCAGGGCACATGCCTGGGTTGCAGGCCAGTTCTCTCCCTCTCTCCTTCCTTTCCCCTCTAAAGATAAATAAATAAAATCTTAAAAAAAAAGAAAAAAAATATCATCTTTGGATACTTATTTTTGCTGTTTTTATTCTAAAGGGATAGGGATATTTCTATATTATGTACTTAACTATTTCTTCCCTCATACATGAAGGGTCGATGACCTTTGCAAAAGGGGAAGAAGCCTCTTCTTTTCATGAGCTACATAAGATCTTATTGCCACCTTGGATCTAATGTTTTTTTGTGCCACCCTGAGTATAGTTTTAATAAAATGTAAGAACAGACCAGAGTGCCTGTGCCCCATGGAGAGTCTAAACCCAGTATGACAACAATGGCAATAAAAGAGCAGAGTAACTGTTGCACAGAATGGAAAGGTATTAATTTCATCTCCTCTCTTCCAGGCTGCAAAAGCCCTCAATAAATCAAGTCTCCTATCAATCAGGTAGAAAAGACACAATTGAGATTGTTGACATTTTCTAATAAGAACTTTTTAATATACTTCATTTAACTTTTGCAATTTAAAAACGAAAAATAAGACCTGGCCAGGTGTCTTGGTTAATTGGAGCGTTATCCCACAGAAAAAGGTTGCAGGTTTGATCCCCCAGCAGGCGCACACAGGAGGCAACCAACTGCTGGATGTGCATTCTCTCTCTCAATCTCTCTTTCTTCCCCCTGCTCCACACCCCCCTCCTCTCTCTAAAATCAATAAACACATCCTTGGGCAAGAATTTAAGGGAAAAAAATGAAGAAGACAGAGCAACGCTAAGTTTAAAAAGTAAAGCAGCTACTTTATATTCTTTACTGTTAAAGATAACAGACATTTAAGTTTATTGTGCCCTCTGTTATATACTTTGTTGTCTGTCATCTGAAATAAATGTATAGGCTTCAAACAGTAACTATATTACTGGTAAATAAATGGGAGGGCTTTAGAATGGTTTATTGGATAAATCAAATCCTTTTTATATTGGGCAAAATGTTGTAAATTAAGCCCTACTCAAAAAATTAAAAAGCATATCTTAGTAAATTTTTCATCTCAGTGAAAATATAAAATGGTGCACACTTTTTATATTAATGATATCCTGCAATGTAACAAGTTACTACAAATCTTAGGAACTCAAAGCAACAAACGGCTGTCATTTCACAGTTTTTGTGGGACAGGGACCTAGGAACTGATTAGCTTACCACTCTGGAAGGACAGTGTGTATCTTTGGGGATGGTCTTTGCATGCTCAAGCAGGGAAGGAGAACCAACTTAATCTTGTTTGGACATAGGAACCACTTGACATTTAATCACTTGAACATTTCATGGTTCTTTGAATTAATAGTTTGTTTTGTAACTGAGGTTGAGATATACATGGTACTGTGCTTCAGATAAGTGGTTATTATATAAGTTATTAATCCAAAAACATGGCACTTTTGTTTCTTATACAGAGTGGATAACATATTATTACTCAGATATTTAGAGTCATAGGAGATAGTTTTGAAGACTATTTACGGTAGCCCTTATCACTTCTCTTTTCAGTTTTTTCATGATAGTGTTAGGGGGGAAGATTCTCTATTGAGTTAAACGCCTAAGAGGAAGAATTAACATGGAGGAAAGTGTTTAGAGATTGTGCCTATGTAACATCAAAGCCAAGTCTTCTGTTTCAGAATATTAACTTACTTCGTTTGATTTATGATGCCATCATATCATTGAAGTCTGCAGTTACAAAAGGTCATGCATTTCCTGTTATAGGAGAGGTATGGTATTTTGCAGCTGAAAAAAATTAACTGTGACTGTAGTATGTAAAAAAACTAAACAGCTGTACACTGCCCTTTTCAGTCTTTTCATTTTGAATTTTAAAATTAAAAGATTTCAGAAAAGAAGTATTTCTGAGGTACAGATTTTTCATGTATAAATAAATTTCATCTGTAAGTTGTAGTCCTTTATTTTTGTTTCATTTGTCTTAATATTATTAGCTCATTTGAGACAGGCAATATTGGTGAAGAGAATATCCTGTAAAGAGTCTTCTATCCAACCAGATCACTGCAGGCTATTGTGAAATCTTTCACCTCAACTTGTCAGGTTTTCATTATCCCAATATAACTGTGTAACTTTATTTCAAAATGGAAGACAGACAAATGCTATTAAGAACACCAAGGCACAAAAGGGCCTGTTCTGGGTTCTTAGTAAGATTTCCATGGTTCTGGTTCCAGCCAAGATGGAGGCGTAGGTAGAGACCCTTCGCTTTCTCCCACAACCAAAAGGAGGATAACAACCCATCTAAAATCAATAAACAACCAGAAGTGCCAGAAGATCAAACTGCATAGAACTCCAACAACCAAGGAATTAAAGAAACGGTCAACCAGACGAGTAAGGTGGGCGGACGAAGAGAACTGTGGCTCAGCAGTGGATCACGTGGATGGGGCTAGCTGGACAGGAAACAGAGGCTCAAAGCTGACTGTGGACTACAGCGGGGCCTGCCACAGTAGGAGAACTCCCATCTCACACAAGGGTTTGTTGGAAAGTGGACTAGAGCCGAGCAGGTGAGCTGCGTTGTTCCTTCTCTGGCCCCTGCCCCACCTCCTTACAACTTAACAGGTTCGCCGAGACAAAGAAATATGGCCCAAATGAAAGAACAGCAAAAATCCAGAAAGAGAGCTAAGCAATGAGGAGATAACCAACCTATCTGATGGAGAATTTGAAGATCTGGTAATCAAAATGCTCACAGAATTGATTGAGCTTGGTCGCCAAATAAAAGATACCCAAAGTGAAATCAAAATATTCAGGGAACCAACAGTGACAGGAAGGAAATCAATGATTTGGAACAAAAGAAGGAAATAATCATCCAACTGGAACAGAATGAAGAAACAATTGAAAAAGATAAAGAGATGCAGAGGAGGATGGAGGCTGGCATCAGAGCTAAGGTTGACTGCTTGACAAAGCCACACTTGATGCATCTACAAGGCTGATTAAGCCAGCAACAATGACAGCTGAGACCCACCGGGGTTAGGAGGGAGATGGTTAACCACAAGCTTCAGCTGAATGTGAGTGTAACTTTTGCAGAAGAAATGTTTATTGTTTAGATAGCCTGGGAATGGAGCAATTATATCTGCAGTTTTTTTTTCTGAGTCTGCAAAACATCCTTGAGCTTTATTTAACCCTTACAAAATAAATGTGGAGATCATGTTCAGAGTCATTGTCCCTCCTCAGAGGACAGTGCCCCAGCTGGCCCCTGCTTTTTCTTAAACTGTGTCTGTGTCTTAATCTCCTGTCACCCCCCCACACACACCTCAGGGACCTCTCCATGCTGGTCACAGCTTAGAGAAGCTTAGGAACCTCTGGGACAACTTGAAACGTTCCAATGTGCAAATTATATGGGTGCCAGGTGGAGAACAAGAGCAAGAAACTGAAAACTTATTTGAACAAATAATGAAGGAGAACTTCCCCAATCTGGCAAAGGAAATAGGCTTCCAGGAAGTCCAGAAAGCCCAGTCACAAAGAAGTTGGACCCAAGGAGGAACACACCAAGGCTCATCATAATTACATTACCCATGATTAAAGATGAGAATCTGAAAAGCAGCAAGAGGAAAGGAGACGGTTACCTACTCAAAAGAAAGTGTACAGGCAAGAAGGGGCTGGAAAGAAGTACTCCAAATCATGAAAGGCAAGGACCTACATCCAAGATTACTCTATCCACCAAAGCTTTCATTTAGAATGGAAGGGCAGAAAAAATGCTTGCCAGATAAGGTCAAGTTTAAGGAGTTCATTATCACCAAGCCCTTATTGTATGAAATGTCAAAAAGACTTAAATATCTAAGAAAAAGAAGATAAAAACATGAACAGTAACATGACAACAAACAACTATCAACAACTGAGCCTAAAAAAACAAACTAAGCAAACAACTAGAACAGAAACAGAATCACAGAAATGGAGATCATATGAAGGGTATTCAGTGGGGAGGGGGAGAGGAGGAATGGGGGGAAGGTACAGGGAATAAGAAGCAAAACTGGTAGGCATAAAATAGGTGGGGAAAGATCAAAAATGGTATAGGAAACAATCCAAAGAACTTATAAGTACGACCAATGGACACGAACTAACCAGGGGATGGTGGAGAATTGGGAGGTGTAGAGCAGAGGGGGGATAAAGGGGGGAAAATTGGGAAAACTATAATAGCATAATCAATCAAATATACTTCAAAAAAACTTTCCATGGTTCTGCATGTTATGCAACAGTTGGTAGGATTTTACTCAATTGGTTATGCGCTCTCTACTTCCCAAATTCCTTCAGAAAGCATGTATTTTTGCGTAATTTGGGGGTGGGAGTTAACCCTTCTTTTAAGTCCTAATTTTTTATTACACAGGGTCAGAGCTAGAAACTGAACTAGGGAGACTACTGAGGAAGTGACAAAAAGATATTTTGCAATACAAAAGCTATGAATTAAATGACAGGAATCTGAACTTTTGGGTCAAGGAAAAAGGATCCTTGAATGTTTAGATCATTTCCCTATAATGAGTATTTCTTGAGGAATTAATGTGGTGGTTCATTCAGCACACATTTAGTAACTGGTCAGGTGTGTGCTAGTTGCTAAGAACACAGTGGTGGTAAACTTCTGGTCAAGATAGCAGTGTAGGCAGACATAGCTTGCCTCCTCACACAACCACATCAAAATTACAACTGAAATATAGAACAACCAACACCGAGGAACATCGAGGTGAATGGATGTCTGACAACTATGAAATCCAATTGAATGGAAGTCTGACAATTACAGAATTGAGGAAACTGCGACAGGGTCAAGCCAAGAGAGGGGTCCTGAATAAGGATTTGTAGTGGGGTCCAGAAC